ATTTTACATTTATGAAATTTGATAAGGGATTACTTTATCTCTACTTAATTTGATGTAAAGCCAACAAAGTCTCTGTCAACATTCATTTTAATTAATCCAATAATGTTAACTGCTAATAGCTTCATTCTCCTTGTTTCCTGTTGGCAACCAGAAAGGTAATTCTCACTCTAATTTAGCTCTCAGGGTGCCATCCACGAGGGATTGTCACCTTGCTGTGGATTGTGGCCTCTGATCCCACCACTTTCTTCGTATAACAGTCCTACCTTTGCATATTTAAATAACTTTGTACGTGGTTATAAGGATAAAAGCAGTGAAATGTTAGGCTCTGCTGCGAAATGTTCCATTGTTTCTATGTGCTAATTGACCTTTCATGTTACCAAGAAAAACAAACCAATAGGTTTCTTAGTATCCAGTCCAATGCAATCTTTATTATTAACATGCTAAACATGTTTCTTTCAAGGCAATGACACCTAAACACTGCTAGAAGTATCAAAATGACTTCTCATTAATAACCATTATATTAATCACTGTTGCCCAAAACTAGAATCTGACTGCGAAATCCCCTGGTGGAAATTGCTATAATCGTTCAAAGTACAGGAATGAATATTTTTCAGCATAATTACTGCTGTCGTCTTACTGAAAAATATCCCATTAGATGGCAGCTTTTAGTTACGTAAATCGTGTTGATTAATTTTTAATTTCCAGCATTTATATGACATTGCACAAGTAAAGATCTTTGATAATTTAAATGGTTAGCTGAGCAATTATTAAAATAACTCACAGCAATTCAAACATTCATTTACTTACTAGAAGTGCCATACATCATTAACTCCTGATTAAAACAAAGTTGGCAAATTGCAAGTGCTGAACTGATCACTTTGATATGTATTTCATGGTGTTTCATTAAAACTATTTGTGTCATTTATGATGCCTTAGATGCAAAGATAAAACTTTAGTATAAATGTTTCAAAGCAAAGGATCTAAACAATAGTGGCAACATGGCATCTCAACCGTGTGCTCAAGTGCATACCTGTGGCTCTATGCAGGCAATTTAAATGATCTATATCATTACCATTTTTATCTATTCCAGTAACTCTTTTATTTAAAACAAAGTTTCGGTAAGAGAAAAGAGTAAGCTCTTAGTCTAAGTAAGACTTAGTTCTTAGTCTTACTTGTATAATTTATGTTTTCATTGACTTGTCTGAAGCTTCATCTTCACTGTGAATTCTTAGATAACTTTCAGTTTCTTTACATGTAAATTGAGAAGATAACAGTGCTTAGCTCATAATGCTGTGCTATAGGATAATATGACTCAAGAAACATAGATTTGTCTAGATAACACATGGGATGTACTAAGCAATAAATCATCCTCATATCAAATATCTATTATATTTCAAATATATGGCCATAATGAAAAGATAAATGTTTTATACCTGAAAATAAACATCTTTTGGTTCTTAATGTCTCTCTACATTAATATTTACTCCATTTTTATTCAACTTTATAGTTACTATAGCATTCAGTCTGGTATCTAACATAGAATAGATGTTCTCTTACAATTCTTTTAATTGATTCTTTTCTAGCCCAATCTGATATTTTCCTTCCTCTACCCCTCCCTCATGACCACCACCATGCACTTCCCATGTATTTACCTTCCATTTTTAAAGGCAACCTAAATTAACTTTATTTTTAAAAGCACTGAAGGTTTAAATTGTAAGAAATATCAGTCTATATCAATTTTCCACTCTTTGATTAGTACCATCTACTAAACGTACTATAGAAAGTTGACCATTTCCTGTCTGCTTAAATACCTGAAATGGGAAGTACACTGGCATCTATATCAGCAGGTTTTCCATTTTAGACAGCTCTATTTAGAAACCCCCTCTTTGAACTGCCTCCTGATGTAATTAAATCTGTACCCGGAAGATTTTAATCTATATGACATTGTGAATTAAAGATACAGTGAGTCTATTTCTTTACATTTTTAATATTAAATAGAAAGTCTGGGCTATACATTCTCTGAGGAGAATGAAGTTCTAATATTTGCTATTTTTGTGATTCTTTTTTTGACCGTTAGCTACCTCTCTGAAGTGTGTCTACCATGATTAATCTCCAGATCCTTTAACACGGTCATTCTTTAACAAAGTGTGCTTCAGTTTGGTAAGTCATATCAAAATGTGAATCAGAATCAACAACTACAATAATACATTATGCAGATAATAATAGCTACCATTTAATAATGTCTTAAGTACCAGACAATGTTGTAAGGGTTTTGTGTGCATTATTTCATTTAATCTTCACAGCACTTCCTTGAAGTAAGTATGAAGCAGTTTGCTATGCCCTGGTTACTAACTTGTCTGAGTTGCATGAGAATGAACACATTCATGCATAGCAAATTACATGAAGTGGATTGATTGCTTGATAGGCAGCAAGGGAAAACAGAAGTCTAGGATTCAGTGTGAACTGGTGCCCCAGTGCTCAGGCAATTCTGTGGGGTGGATGGAGCCTTTAATGCATGTGCCCAACTTGTACAATAGCTGAGGGTACAAATGGGGCAAAAGGCAGCCTGCTCCAGGTTACATACCTCGATGTCACATAACTCACCTGACCAAAGCATGGCTGTTCAAGCCAGCTTCCCTCTTATCTCAAGATGTTGCATTCCTAGCATGTAGTATAGGTACTCTTTGGAACTACAGATGAGAAAGTGAGAAGAACTGGGTTTGCCCAAGACCACGCAGAGAACTGTCCTGCAGTAATTCTCTTACTGCTTCATTTCATGATGAGAAACTGACCCTTGGAAATCTTGAATTTATCATGAACTTTCCAAAACTCAGGATCAATGAATCTTCTTTTACATTTATTAGCTTTTATTACCTTTCCCATATAGTCTCATTTAAAAATAGTTAACATAAACTTGCTCCCCCTATATTAATTGCTTCATTCTCCTATAATGCCCAAATATTTATTTAAACAAGATTTTAAAACTTACCTTGCATTGTCGAGGTAACTTAAAAATTTAACTATTAAATTCCAGTGAAAGTTCCTACTGTTACTAACTCATAATCTAATTTCTGAAAATAAAATATATTGGTCAATAGTGCCATCTAAAAGTCTGCAGACAAAATTTTTGCAAATAACTTCTATTTTAATAGGCTATATTAACATGATAAGTCTATTTAAGTACAATTTTTCAAACACAGAACACCTTTGTTGGATTAAATGTAACTTAATAAATATTAAGTTATTTATCCAATAACTTAAAAATACTGGGAGTATTTTTCATACTCCCAGAATTAAATGACGCAAATATATATTTACACATCTGTGAAAGTAAATGTTTATTCAGTCTACTTACAGTGCTCAGAACATTTGTCACAATCTGCAGGGGAAAGAGATATATTTTTATAGAGTTAATTTATTTGAAAAGTTACACATGTTGCATAAATCACCTGATCTATTTTTGTAATAAGCAAGGAGATAAAACATGATATTTCTCCAGAAGGTAGAAGACTGAGATTAAATTGGCAATTTTGTTGGCATAATAATGTTTCTTCTTAAGTTAACTTTAGGTTTACTCTTGGTTTAAAATTTAGTATTCAGGAAGCTTAATAATCATCATTTTAAAGTTCTAAATTCACATTGTAACACAGCGGGGAGGGGGTTCGATGGTTGTTCTGCTTAATTTTAAATTCTGAGGTGATAACATTAAAGGAGAAGGTATTCTCATCAGAAATAAAATGAGTGATATATGTAACTTCCATCATCTGTTGGAATAGTCACACATCCTCTGAGATTTTCAGTGTTGTGACCAATTCCCAATTTATCCCTGAGAAGCCTTCCCACAAAGCATCTAAATTGTTGGTCAATACTGAATTTCTAAAATTCACCATTTACTCTTTGCCAGATCACTATGTTCTGCATGATTGTAATATTACAAAAAGGAACCAGGACAAATTATTAAACTTGATGTTTATGCAAAAGTGTGATTTCTGGTCAATAAGAAGATAGAAAATTAGCCAAGGCTGGCAGCTTGTTTTCCAAAATCAATTCTAGTGAAACTGCAAATATGAAACGTAAGTAAGGATTCCAGGAGCTAACAACCATCATCACAAAATAGTCCTTTTGTAAAACCCCCAGAAAGAATAAAGGATGTTTTTATCTAGATATGTGACTGAAACCTGACGAGCAGAATTGCAGGAGAAATCAAGAAGATAGGACAGAGGAAGTCCTTTTAAACTCTGCCATACACATACCAGTGCTGGAATCCTTGAGTTACTTTCAGATCCTAAATGGGTAAACAATTTATTTGAAGATGAATTGACTGATCAACTTCTATAATCACTCCTCCGAATCCTTTAGGGTATAGATTTTTACCTAGGTGTGAGGTCTGATACTAATGCTGTTTCACCATAATGAGTTAAATGTACAGCTCTGCTCATCGTTGTTGCCTGGTAGAGTAGCTTCAAGTAGATAAAATCAACACTGAGACCTACCCCTAGACCTTTATCCCATACTGCAAGGAGAGTGGCTGACACCCCAAGAGAAAATGAGATAAGGGTTGAAAATAACTAAACACTTGCATAAGAAAACCTCCTCAAAAGAACTACATCGAACTGAACAATCTACCTAATCTGTCACTGAGTTACAGAACAGATGGAATACAGATTTAAAATAAGCCCATATCTTCAGGCATGATAATAGCAATATAAGATTACTTTCACCATTCATCCAATGCAAATTAATTTCTGTAGCTTTGGGTTTGCCAAAGCCAAAGAAACAGTAGCAAAATCTTTGTCACTAAAACCAGAGGCAATCTATCATAATCAATGAAACAGAAACAAAACAACACAGTTTTTTGTCTGTTTATTTCATTGCTTTTTGAGCCCTTGCATTTTGAAAGAGTGATGGAGGAGACAGCTGCATTCAAACTTTAATTCTTCTGTAGAATTTTATTTTAAAGTTACTTACAAGTATTACTCAGAAAAATAAATATATATCATACATGATAATCCATAGATTTTCCTCCTCCATCACTGTTTCTTTCTCCTAGTTCTCTTCCTACATCAATGACTTGAAAACATTAGGCAGTTACTTCTGATTCTTCTGAAATATATACTCCACGAGGACAGAAATTTTCTGTGTATTGATTGTAGTTTCACACTGGCATGTTGGAAACTTTCTTCAAATGTCTTGCTCTTCTTGGACACAGGTAGAAACCTGATAAAATAATAGAACTATTCTATGTGCCTTAATAGAAGGTGGAGAGGACATTCTCCCAATGGCAGACATTCTAATATCAGAGTAAGAGAGAAGGCGGAGGGCTCAATAGTTCAATGCATATGTTATACAGACCTATACCTTATTTCTGCTTTTAGGCAAAACTTCTGTTTTCTAGTCTAGAGTCTCTTGGGGATGTTGCAGAGTCCTTCTTGTCTGAATTCCCTTCAGACATTCTGAAGGCTGTGGCTTTAGCTGCTCTTCTGCCATGTAGGTGTCTTTATCTCTCTTATGACATAGAAGTTATTTGTCATTAGCAGTGTACACTTTTTTCTTTTTGTTTCATATTTATTGTTATTTATGAATTCGATGTGGGTCTCAGAAGAGAGAGGGTAGAAAAAACTGTGGTAGGTTTGTCACGCATATTCACAATTTTTATGAAATTTTTTGGATGTAGCCAAGTTTTCTAGTTTTTATGTCACTATTGAGCTGCCATTTTAAAAAGCCATTCTCTCAACCCATCAGCTATGTTCACTTCAATCTCTAATAAGTAGGGAGGGGCATTAGGTTCTTTACAGGACCATCTCAAGCAATGGCAAAGGAAGGGCGGTTAAAAACAAACAAACAAAAAAAAGTTGTGTTTTCTCCTTTTTAAAACACAACGGTAGAGAAGCCAGAGAGCAGTAGGATATGGAGGGTTATGCCTGTCAGTTCCAGGGACTGATGTTTTACATCTAGGTCTATAGGCAACATGTTAAATTTGAAAAACAAGCTGACAATTTTGAAAATGGTTGTATTTTACCATTTCATTAAATAAACAAAAGAAAAAGTAATGAAATATAAAATGGGAATGTGAAAATATAGTCTCAGATTATAGAGGTGTAATAGATTATGCAGCATTTTTTCTTATTTTCTATCTGATTGTAAAAATTTTCTTGGTTGCTTCAAAAAATGGTGATATATAAAAAAGCTACCGAGAAAGAAATTAAAGACGATGAAATGGACAAGTAAATGTGCCATTCACTGTGGTAATATACTGGTAGAGAATAGATTGAGCTCTGATCAGTTAGTAAACAGAAGAAGGCACAGCGAATTTCACAGCTTTTCTAATCAGGAAGAACATAGCCTGCTAGTTACTTAGGGGAGTTATATTTTAAACTTTTTATTGACTTAAAATGTTTCAGATGTCAGCAAATTTCTTACCTGTGAATCAATACTTTCAGAAGAAATACAGTAGGGTTTGTAGGGAAGAAAAATGATTTTTGAGTAAGATAAATATAGTTTTCTTACTGGGCCACATGTCCTCAGAATTCTGTCTTAATTTTTCATCTTTATCGTGAAGGGGTTTAATTGTATGTTGTGTATCTGGCACACAGATTTTAATAAAGGTTGACACATATTCAGAAGCTGAAATACACTACCATCTCCATCATCTTCCCACTCCTCTTGCAGTTTTTCTGTTTTAATCCAAATCTGCATTCCTTTTCCTTAAGGAATTTAGGAAGGTTTAGGTTCCTAAATGTAGGTTTATTGTACAAGGTGCGTTTTAGAGTAATAGGTTAATGAAATAACCTATTACTAAAAAGCTTATTTGTATCTTTTCCTGAGATTGGAAGCACCCACAATTTTTGTGTTAATGCTCACAAATATCAGCAATATAGCATACCCTTCCTTTACATCATATTTAACTATACAATTCCAAATTAAAACAACAGAAAAGTAGAAATGTAGAATTCATGTCAATAAAAATTGCACGTTTTACGAACAAATGTGATCTGAACACATCAACCTGATTTATATGCAGAGATATTCTACAGAGTACAGAAAGAAGGACTAACTACAGTTTCAAGGCACCCTTGAAAATAATTATTCCCATGTCCTCCTTCTGCCCTTTTACTTCTTGGTGGTCTTCAAACATTCTTTTTCTTTAATTGCACCAGAAGTAGTAGGGGGTAAGAAGAAGGGGTAGACAAAGCGATTTTGTGTACAGTTATAGATATAGCCTTTTGTAGTTTAATTTTTGAAACTGCAGCCTTTGGTTCTTTGAATCTATTTACACAGATGTTGGGAAAGACGGCTTGTAACCATCTACCACTGGCCTTGTGGTCACCTTTGCCTTTAAGCAATCTCTGGGAGGTACATTAAAAATGATTGTATTAGACGCCCATTTCTAAGACACCATGTTTTTATTCCACGTTCTCCTTTTGGAATGTAACCTAACCTCATAATCTTTAGACACAGGCATGTTTACTTAGTATTATATGATTAGTTCATTTGGAGACCTGTAGTTTCCTCATGTTAATATCAGAAGTTTATATAATGTATGAGGGATAAGCTAACTGTACACCTATTATGCTACTTTAATATTTCAAAGATGGTGGAATCAAATTTTGACATATAATATCAACAATTAGCAGTAAAGAGAAAATCAATCCTACCTGATTTTAGGTTTCAGACTTTGATATTAGGAAAAATATTTTCAGATGATAACATTGCATAAAACACTAACTGAAATATAAAAGTGCATGAAAATATATCACAATCATTAATGGCAATATTATCAAAAGTTAACAGCATATTTTATTTTCTCTTTTCCACCATTTTGCTATATTGGCTTCTATAAGAACAATTAAGGAGGATGTAATAAAACACAATTTAAGTTTGTCTTTAAAATCTTGTTATCCCTCTCTCCCTCTTTTGACTACACAACAGTAGGTTGTTTCTGATTCTTCTCCTTAGGTATGTATTCTGTTCCTTCAGACTTCGCAGGTGCCCATGTCCTGCTGCTTGCTGCGCCAAATGCTTCACCTTACTAAGAGTTTTTACCTGGTCAGGTGTCATGGCTGCCCAGCTGAAGGATGAACACTAAATTGGATAGGGAGATGTGTACAACATGGTTTTCACCCTCCAAGTCAGAGGTGTTACATATATGATGGCATCAGGGAACCAGCAATAGTGACTAGGCAGTTTCTCTGCTTTAGCAAACTTGGATCTTGCTCTATAACTGGTCAGATGGACCACCTGCTGCTATGCCTAATAACTGCAGCTCAGTTATCTACGTCTTTTCTCACCTTTTTACCAGGAAGGAAGCATTGTCTTTGATTGTCCATCAGGCCTAATCCTTTCTCAGCATGATACTTGTTAGCATAATTGCAGAGAAAGATCCAAAAATGTACATTAGAAGTTGTTCCTTTTTAAAAATGTATATAATTTGAATGAAAAGTTACTGTGTGTATTTCACTAATCTAATAGTTAAGGTTTCTTCCATTATCATCTTTTTCAATCTTTATATTGTCATTATTTGTATGTAATTAGAAACCCTTCTCAACTCTAAGAAACTTTCATAATAATCTTTATTAATGATATCATCATCAAGAGAAGTTTTAGGTAAGATTTTAAAGGCTGTTATCTCCAGAAAAAATGAATTATGAACAATTTCAGTTATTTTGGAATCATCTTTAGTCATATTTGAATTGCTCATGACTTACTTAAAAATAGAATGAAAGAACTTAGTTCTGAGGTCTCTTTCCAACAGAATTATGAAGTCACTGAACGCCTGTTTATTCAAGAGAATAAACTGAGAGTGCCAAGTGTACTTGCCTGTAAAGTGAAGGTGCAGCAAGCTCAAAAAATAGGACAAAATGGGCAGCAAATGTATGCTTGAACAAATAAACTTCTATTTACTAGGATAATTATATATTGAACTTTTAAAAAACAGGGAAAGCCTTAAAATTTTTTATAAATAGAAGGGGAAAAATTATAATTGATAGTTTTAAAAAATATAACTTTCAAGAGTTTAATGTTGATATTCAAGGTAAAACACAAATATTGAAGAAAAAGATTGTACAAATGGAGAATCAAAATATTATATGGTCATTTATCCATGTACTATTATTAATTTGTTAACTTACAGCATTTAGCTTTTGTCTTTCTGTACAAGGGAAATAACACAGTGTCAGAGAGGTAATTGAGGTTATCTGGGGCTTTGTTTGATCCAACTTGTAAGTACGAAAAAATAAATAATAAGGTTAATAAAAGGACTTTAAAAGCTGCAATTGGTGCCCAAGACACATCTTGACAAGTATAAAAATATAATTAAGATTCCTTGGATATTACTGAAGTGAGAAGTTCCTACTACCCTTTTTATATTTCAGTGAAAATGTAATGTACTTTGATAACATTAATTTTGCCAAGGTCTTGTTATTTTTTAATGTTATTGTACAGCTCCTTATGTTTGAAGATACTATTTTCAAAGTCCTAGTTCAAAACAGCTTTTGTTTGAAGCAGAGAATTCCTGGTGTAAACTTCTCTTGTTAGCTTTGCCCAGTGTTTATCATTAACATGGTGGCCATGTCATGAGGCAAAGTAAAAATTCTAAGAAGGTCTTAACCCCAAAAGAGAACACAGTTAACATTTGTTTTCTCCAAGCTAAGAACGTTTTATAAAAATTAAAATAGCCTTACAATTTAAGGTTAGATATCATGAGTTCTTCCTTTTCATTCATGATGGAAAATAACTGCAAATTGAGTGGTTTTTAGTTAACCCATTTCAGACATGCTTTATAATGTAGCTTTGATTTGGAATATTGGAGGATAAATTTACACAAAAAACAGAAACTCTGAATGAACTTGATACTGGTGGGTGAGGGGAGGTCCCCAAACTTGGTGGGACTTCAACCCCAGCCAGTATCCAAGCTCTTGACACCACAGTGAGAAGGATGAGTCAGAAAATAGTGAAAGTAGAGATTCATTGCAAAGTGAAAGTGCACACTCAAGAAAGGGTAGTGTGTGCCTAATCAACAGAGTCGCACGAGGGAGTTTGGGGCTGCTACCTTTACGAGTTTCTTTAACCAAGGTGTGGAATATTCATAAAGATTTTTGGGAAATGGTAGAGATTTCTCAGAACTGTGGTGCCATCCATTTTTATACCAAATATGAATGTTCTCAGACTGTCATGGTGTTGGTGGATGTGTAATTCAGTATGTTAATGAATATATAATGAGGTCCTAGGTGAAACATAGCTCAAATCCAGCACCATGTTGGGTCCAGTTGGTCTTAGCCAACTTGGCCCTCACCCTGGTTTCTGGAGTTTTATCAATTGTGTCTGGTTTATGCAGCTATTTGAACAGAGGGCTTTAGCTAGTCATGTGAAACTGCTGCCTAGGATTTTCTATTCTCCTGCAATCATGGTGTATTTTTCCTGTCTCAAATTCAAATGTGCCTTTCTTACTTTTCTGCTCAGTAAACTGTAGTCTAGGATGTTCTTTTGCTTAATTATTTTTAAGAGTTTTGGTAAACCAGTTTCATTTCCCCCAAATACTTCTGAGAATTTTTGAAAGGCTTATACATGTCTCAGCTAAAATCCTGGCACTGGACCACTGACTGCTCAGCTGCATGTTATTCATTTCTTTCTTTAGGTGAGATCTTACAGGCAGCAACTGCATAGGTCCCCCCACATGGTGTACTAAAGACCAAGATCTAATGTTTAAAACATTTTAAGTCTTAGATATAGCATAAAAGCATTCATAGGATAGAAAACAACAAATTGGACACAAAATATTAAGTCATTTTTAACCCATATTTGTAATCATTTTGTAGTTTTTCTTATCAGAAATTAGAGACTCAGAGAGAAGAAAGAATATCCGTTTTCATCCAGGCTAAACCATCTTCAATATCTGTCTCACTACTTACCTTGTATAAGATCTCCATGTATGAGATCCCATTAAATGTTGCAAAATTCATACAAATGGCCCTAAAAAAATATTAATTTGCAGAGATAAATCCACATTTAAAAATAAAGATTTTCAAAACAAGACGTGATGTGTAGAAATGCCTCATAATGTGGCATAATTACCATAATGAGGAAATGGTAAATGGTCATAATTCAGACAAACTTTGATACTGTTATACAGAGTACTTTTCCTTGAAATCCTACAGTTCTGGCCATCTTCATTCCAGATTTTTTTTTTTTTTTTTTTTTTTTTTTTTTTTTTTTTTTTTTTTTTTTTTTTTTTTTTTTTTTTACCATATCATAATCAATTGGTCCACTAGGTTAGATTTTCCAGGACAGAGTGTTTGACTAAAGAGTCAATAATTCTTAGCAATAGCTTAGAAATTAGTTTGACCAAAGTCTCAAAGATCCCAAGGCCAATCATTAGGGCTCAATCTCAGGCTGTAATAGTGTTTTCTGCAGAACAGTGGCTTTGAGTATACAGATATTTTCATATTTAGAATCTATTGTTGAAAGTCCTGTTTGAAAGTAGGAGTAGTGGCTGCATTTCTCCTTTCATGACAAATTTGACACTCAGGAGATAATAGCCTTATGAGAATAAATAGTATTCTCCATTTTCTTTGGCTGTCTATACCCACATGAAATTAAATATATGAAGGATATTTCAAAACATTCTGGAAAAATAAAATATATATATTAAAAAAAATAAACTTTAGCCAGTATGAGTCTTTGACACCAAAGTTAACCATTTTAACTATACAGTATAAATGTAGTTACAAACAAAATGTATGCATAGGAAAATGTTTCTTGCATTGTACATACTTTCTCCAGTGATGCCCTAGGGACTCCTGTAAAATATGTCATTGGTTGAATTATAACTATAACTTTAATGCAAATGGTAAACTAGAGCACTTTTTAAAATAGGACACATGTACACGTTGTATGGTCTTTCAATTGTACTGTTTCTTTTGTGTGTGTGTATGTCTATGAGTATGTCTATGTAGTTTTAGGTAGTTATAGAGATTAGATATTGGACAAGTAACTAGAAACTAACCAGATTTTCTTTGTTATAAAAAAGAAAATGATTAATTTTAATTGGATTTTTAGTTGAACAGTAAAACTGGGTAATAATTTACCCTATTCGGGGAAAATATGTACTGTGCTTTTCAGACTAAAAGTATTCTTTCTTGAGTGACCCAGTGTTAGCCTTTACTGCAGAAATAGATTTGTTTTGGTAGACCCCTGTAGCCAGCTACCTGCAGAGAGAAAGGAATTTTGCTAGAGAGAATTCTTAATACAGTAGGTAAACATTCTTTCATTTGGTGAAGATTTCACATATGATATTCTCTTACATTCAGCATAATTATAAACTTTTAGTTTTAATATGCTTTCAGAATAAATAAAAAATTATAAAGTTAAAAAGATAATTGTATATCCTTATTGAAAATGTTTAGCCTATTCGAATCTAACAAATCTTCTCTGAAATACCTGAGAATAAGGTGTAAATGACTAAGAAATGAAAATACAGCAGAATGTACCAGATGTTTTTTATGTGTTGACTATACATATATCTTTCTCTGTTAGCTTTTAGTTGCAGACAGAGTGCAGTGTACATAATTTTATTCACAATAGATTGCTATGCATCATATATTCACATATGAATATAATTTCTCTGAAGATTGAAATAGGAAGATAGGAAAAGACAATATGGTATATATGCTGAATTCTATATACAAGTAAATGTGAATAATATAGTTAGATGCTCTCTTCAAGGGGCTTCTTATCATTATCTCACTGGGCCATGTAGGGATTAATTGGTTAAAGTTTGTAGGCTCTTTGAAGCTAGGAAACACTACGGAAGTGCTAAGCATTATCATGGTAACACGAGAGTGAGGCATAAGTGATTTTCAACTTCATCAGCTCTTTGAAATGTGTGTCTAGTCTGATTCACAGTTTTCTCTTACGGTGTTTTATGGATTGCAATGTTCTTATCAGATTTGAAGATGAAATGTGTTCTATTGAAATCATACTAATCTGCACAATCTTTTTTCTATATATTAGTAAAGTGATGTTTCTCAAAATAGAAAACTTGAGATGTTATTTCAAAGGTAATTTAATAAAGTAGAATTTTCACATTAATTATAACTCGTCTATTATCATTTGATTGACTAAGCTGTAGCTCTCTTAATTAGTGCAACTAAAGTCTAGTCTAGTTAATTTGCATAAAGATACTTATTCCCATCTTTTATAGTTTAAAAGACAGGAGACTATTCACTGATTCCATAAAGCTTATATAGATTTTATTAGCATGTTTCAATCATTTATCACTACAATAATGTCAATTCTAAAATGTAATTTTTATTTTTTGTAATTTCTTGGAATTACAGTGGGGACAGAGAAATTTATTTATTTTATTTTATTTATTTTTTTTTTTTGTCACTGATTATTTTTTATTCAAAGCTATCCATACATACAAGTATTTTTTGATCAAACAAAACAATTCCTACAATGTTTATGCATCTGTTCCTTTTGGGCACATTTAGTAGCCTGTCAAATTTCT